TATATTCTTTCTAAAACAACAGAAAAATCTTAATCAAACTAAAACAAGAAATATGATATGTAATGCAAAAGTTAGCGAATGTTTCCCGTAAATTAAAAACTATGATATCTTCTATAAAATGATATCAAGAACTTTAAATACGGACAAGAAACACTATTTTTCATATCAGTTGTAGAGAAACAACTACTAATGTGTATCACACCAGCTGTCACTAGCAAATCCAAGTCCATTTTATAGACGTATTGACTTACGCGCTAAAATATTATTTTTCCGTCTTTCGCATACAAATGATACATGATTTGTCTATAAGAGTTCTGTTTACCCCAAGTCCTAGGCCTTATCTTTCTAACCCGCATATTTGAACCACCACTCAGAGAGGGCAGGCGCTTAAGTACCCTGAGTGAACATCAGCTAAAGTAAATTTTTTGTTTTTAATTAAAACAGTTAATACAAAATTCGAATTATTGTTAAAAATATTTTGTCTTAATCTGCATACTGTTAATAACAATTGTAATGTTTTTTACATGGATTTTGATATTGCATATTTGTGTGAATTCTAGGCTAAGTAAACTACTTTATGAAATGACTTCATTTTTTATTAATTAGATTTTTCATATTGGTTTCTATATCATTTATTAGAACTCATGATCTGTACGATTAATTGTATGTAAGTAAGTAAGTTGCCCTCACTTCTACAAAAAAAATTTTCACGCGATGCCAATTGTCTTAAGTGATCAATGATCACTGATCACTGATCACAAATGAACTTAAACTAGCAAAGTGTGTATTTACGACTTCAAGATTGTTAGTGTTGATGGTGACACTTGCATCTGCGTCTCTTCAACTTTTATTTAAATGTATGGGACAAGGTTAGAGCCGCAAGGGATGCGAGCTGAAAGCAGCGATCGCTTTTATGGGGGGATTAATCAAATCGAGTCGCAGGCTCGGCTGTCACACGGCATGTAAGGCGATCCTAGGCACCCCCGGGACCCGATGTAATCGCATACCCGTGATGGAACTCATCAGCAGAGTGTGCGGGGACTCGTAAGCCTTCTCTCTTCGTCGTTTCTCGTTTCTTCTTGTTACTAAAGAGATACGTATCGTGTGTTTTAATTCTGCGCCTTCAATTTTTGCTCTTTGAATTCTTATAGTGGAATATATCTAGCTTATTATATATGCGCATTTCGAAAGCAATAATTTCATTATAACTGTACGAGGCGAAGAATTATTAAAAATATTTATAATCCGATCAGCTCGTTTGCACGCATGCGCACTAATTGAAAATTTCAAAAAAAACTCAAACGATGACACATGATTTTATTACACTGTGTAACTGACACTGAAGTTTAAATTCTTCAAAGATAGATGAGTATCAATAACAAAAACGTAGCTTTGACTCAAGACTGAAGAAATTGAAATTATATGTAGAAGTACATTTTTTATCTACAATTACAAATCATGAAATGCAGAAAAGATACCTTGAGATTGGGAACCCTTAAATTCCGACTTTACAAAAACTCTAAACAAGTTGTTGAGTACGTCACCTTATCTTATAATCCCTTGACACAGAGTGGTTATTATAAAGTTTGACACGACAGCATGGGCAAAAGCTTGGTTTCATCTATCAGGGTACGTAAATTAAAAAAATATGAGGATGCGGAGTGCAGAAAATCGTCATTATTTTGAAGAAGCTCCGTTACACCCATAAAAAATTTGAGTTTAGTGTGCCATTTCTCGAAGACTATTTACAGCTGCGTGATACCAGAACATACTACAGGAATTTATTGACCAGCTTGATCCTGAAGAATTGCAGAGGACATTTTCAGCATGACGGTGCAACAGCTCATATAGCTCAAACAAGTTTGAACTTTCTAGGGCATTTAAATGACGATCGTTTAATTAGCTCCCACACAGACCATGTTTACCCTCATCACTTGATGTGATACGTTTAGATCATTTCTTGTTCTCGGCTTTGAAAAATACTATTTTGAAACAATCAGTGGATACAATGAAAGCCTAAAGGTGAGAATCATATAAGAGTGTGAAAGTGTTTCGCTGCATGTTCTTACTCAAGTATTTGAGAAAATGAAATACTGAGTCAATTTTTGTATCGAAGCTGAGGCCAGGACTTCCAATTAATGGTTAATAACATTGGTTACTCCGATATTCAAAAAAGGCGACAAAACAATTCCTTCAAATTATCGGCCTATAAGTTTAACTTTTATTTGCTGTAAACTCATGGAGAAAATTATTTGTAAGCAACTAACAACATTTTCGCTACATAATGGTATGGGTAATGGGTTTCCTACCAAATAGATCAGTGATTACTTGTTTGTTAACACGTCGTATCTTGATGATAACGATCCCATTGATTTACTTTATTTAGACTTCGAAAAGGGTTTTGATCGTGTTTTTCACATGCGGCTACTAACTAAACTTGAACACTTAGGTAGTCGAGGAAATCTGTTGAAATGGATTCCTGTGTTCCTCTCTGACAGGTTTTTCATTGTGAAAGTGGGTAACTTCAAATCACTTGAACGTCCTATACTGTCAGGTGTTCCGCAGAGATCTATATTGGGACCGTTATTATTTTGTTTATATATCTCTGATCTTAGCAATTTAAATCAAGCGCAACATGTGTGTTATACAGACAACTGTAAGATAAGGGAACATTTTTTTTTGGTGGGTACTAACAAGGGTAGAGTGACAATCAAAACGAAAAGGCCATCACGTGGGTTGAGCAGTAAAGCAAGTTACGTTGGTCGAGTCTATTCATAGCTCTCGGGGAATGGACACATAGGGCAGTAGCGCCGTTAATTTGTGTTACTTTTGTACTGTCTTCGTATGTCTGGTGCCAACGTTTTGTGTCTCCTATTTTTTTAAGTTAATATTATTTATTTTGTCACTTTGTATTTATTAGCAAGAAGAATTTTGTTTAATAGAGTCCTCAGAGCATTTATTACTTTAATTACATTTTATGATAAATCAGTTACGCCACTGGTAAGAGATGGGCGCGCATCTGAAGCTCCGTCCATGTCACCTTTCGTTCTACTTGGCACTCTAGTAATGTTGTCACAGAAAAATCCATCAAATTTCATATCCAAACGACCACTATTGCGTTTAATGTTTCACACTAATTTAAGTTCTAAATAAAATGTCTTAACCATATTGATAAACTGTATTCCAAACATACGGGGTAGAATCGTTTTTGGAACATTGGGATTTTACATGTAAAACCAGAAATTTGAAAAAATTGGCTGTCCTAATTATAAATATAATTAGATCAACACGTTAAATACAAAAGTTATAAAGATAAAAAACTGTATCTAAATCATTCTTCATTCTGTTACGAAATAAACCCATACGCCGCCCCGGTACGATGCCTATGGGTTATCTCGAGGGTTTTCTAGTATATACGGTGATGATGGGTGACTCATCGTCGGTGACGGCGACCAGACTGCGTTCGCTAAAGAAAAGCCTGGAAGCGGAAGTCGCGATGGGTTTCCAGAAAAACCTCGATCGCGGAATATCTAGAAAGGAAGTATGGGTTTAAGCAGAGGCCACTTTCGGAACGATTCATTCAGTCAACGAGTCGAGTCCATTATATTACTGTGAAATAAATTGTTGACTTTTACCCACGCCGGTTTTTAATTACCGATCAACGTAACAATTCTTTTTGCAACACATTTTGTTATTGAAATAAAAAGAAAAAAAATTATTAATGATTTGTGATAAAGTACTACTAACCATGACACCCAATTTTCGAAAAACAATGGACGTTTTGCAATCAATATTTGGGGATGGATTGACGTGCATGGTCCAGGAGTGTGCTGGAAAATCCACAAAATTATCGTGGAATACTGGAAAACGTTATGTTACTCTCAGTCTTACAAATATACCCAGAAAATAATATATCAACATGACAATTGCCCGAATAATTAATTGAGCAATGGTTTGAAAAAAATCAAATTAACGTTTTGCCCTGGCCAGCTAGAGGTTTTCACCTCAACCCCATTGAGAATGTTTGGGGTTATATTGTTAAAAAAATCAAATCTAAAAATTTTCGACATGCAAATGTGGAAAAGCTTTGGGAAGCAATTGAAGGAACATGGGAGGATCTAGAGAACAACTATAATATGAGAAATCTAGTTCTGTCAATGCCAAGAAGATTAGAAAGTTTAATTGGAGCAAATGGAGCTGCAACAAAGTCTTAAAACTGTTTTGTTTTTTCTTTAAGTTAGGTAACCTGTTCAAGATTTTAATCATGGATATTTTTTTAGTATATTTTTGCATATTAATCATTGTATTTATCGATCAGTTAAATAAATTTAGTAATGTTTATTTAATAATGTTTTTCACTATTCGTACGCTACGCCACCGGTAATAGCCAGGCTTACATTAACTTAAGAATTCAAAAAATTCCATGACAACGAAAAATAGTGCACTTTTGGGGGGGGGGGGGAGGGGCGCAACAGTACATGTACAAACAGTACATTTTATAACTTTTGAGAATAAAAATTTTGGAACTGTATTTGGAAAGTAGTTACCTTCAGAGTTATTTTGTCTTTCATTTAAATAAATAAGCAGATAAGCATAACCTTTGGCGAAATCATAAACTAACACGTTTATACCCATAAACCGAAGTCGTAAATTAAAAAAGTTCAAACATACTGTGACCCGATTGTCGTTAAAATGCACTTCCATTTATTTACCTCCGGTAAAGATACTATTTTTATGTCTACCTTACTGTTACACCTCAGACAGCATCCAGAGGACGAGTCGCATTTTTGTCTCAACTTTACATATTATCTAACTGTTGTTGGGGGTACGGTACAAGTCCAATTCTACAACCGTGGTCTGATACCATTATATTCTGACGAAGTTCTAACAATACAGACAATAATCCGATAATGTATAGACTTATGCTAAAATTTATAAACAAAAGAAATACTCAAAATAAACTGTTTTGAATTAATTTTTCATACTTAATTTGTTTACAGATGGATGATAACGTGTACTATCTGATAACTGAACTTGTTTCGGGAGGTGATCTTTGTTCCTTTATTATTGGACAACGGTATGGAAAATTGGAAGAACGATCTGCTAGAACTTTTGCAAGACAATTTGCTTCAGCATTAGCTCATATGCACAGTTTTGGAATCGTTCACAGGTATTCCACATATTAGTTATACACATAGACTAAATGCAATTAAAAGTACGGGTCGCTGGTATATAATTATCCCTTTAATTGAAAAACATCTAAGATATCAGTACCTAACGTGAAAGTAAATCTAAAAGTAAAAGAAATTTCTATAACAAATCTAAGTTCTTATCATCTAATCAGCGTTGGATGTGAGACCACTTACATAGATGGTACCACTACTAACGGAAAAGTCGGTCACTTTCCTTCATTCATCTTTTCGTCGTTCCGATAGACGAAACGGTGTCAACACCCAGTGACAAAAAATTATTAGTTAAAGATAACGTTGGCATAGACATTAAATTGAATCCCTAATCATTTTACTTTCAACACATATCATTTATTCGACACATTAAAGTATAACGATTTTTTTGTAGATATTTTATATTGTTTACTATTTCTAAAAAACAAACTTGACGTACCCATAATTCGAATTTTGAGGCTCTTTAACATAAAGTCCTGTATTACACTCTTACAAAATACATCCATTCGGTAGCACAACAGCTTCTCGTAAGAAATGACAATTGCATAAATTTTGTATTGAATTTTAGTGCAAGGCACATAAATGCACAATGTTGCTTTGCGCATTCGAAGCGTCTTATTTATGCGAGCTTAAATCTGAGCATTTTAAGAACATGGAGATGCACGAAGCTCTTCTCCATTTGCGCCAAAAGTTAAATGCAACGATTGGAAACAATAAACATATCCCATACGGTGTCTGGAGCCCTCTCTTTCGCTTTGCCAACTGCATATTTATGCACAAGTTGAATTCTTCACGCTTTTTACTTGGAACTTTATTGAGTGTGCTCACTTGTACAGCGAGTTTGCACTAAGTATAGGTTGTATTAAATTACAAAATTGATTAAGTTTTTACGATACCCTTTTTATTTATTGCTGTAACTTTTTTACGGTTATGACAGCGTTTATTTACTAAAACAAATTACAAGCAAAAGCAGATTGTTAGTTAACTTGTGAGATTTTTGTAATTCAATTCTAAAGTAATAATTTTAAAATTTAAGTAACTTTTTTTAAACCGGTCTATATTTTTAACGGACTTAAATATTCTGAAGTATTGTTAAATATCTGTAGGAGCGCCAGAGTGAAACGACAAAGTAAAGAACTAACGTAAATCTGCAACAACCCGGATCAACTTTGGGCATGATTGGAGTTAAAAAAAACAGCCTGTTTTTTAACGCTGACTGGATGTTACAGAGTGACATCTTAGCGGATAACGTTATCTGATCGTGAACTATCTGATCTAATATCAGTACACGTTTTCTAGTTTTTAAGTCTAAATAAATCAAGTTGTATTATTTAAACTAAAATGACTTTGGATAGATTGCATTAATGTATCCGACTGCTTTCTCAAAACTCCTTTTTTAAACCTCCATAAGAACTCAATTTCAGTTTTATTCACACTAGAAAATATATGTATATAAGATTATATACTGTTCGACAACTACATAAAGAGGCACAATGTGGTTAAAATGAGCATTCTTTTGAAACCAATACAGATACCTATTAGGTTAAAATACATCGTAAACAAAGAAGAACTAATATTCGGGTGCAGCTGTTACAAACCTTGCGCTCTCCGAAAGTTAGTAAAATATACTGTTGTACAAGTGGAGTAGATATACCCTCGAGCTTTAAAGTACCACATTGAAATGTATACTTAAACTTTGTCAAGTGCTGTAAAGTAACAAAGTTGCAGAGTCTTATACTTTCTGATTTTCCGCTCATACCCTTCGTCTCAAATATTTCAGCTCGTACAGCTCGTAGATCTTTTTTCGTCGTTTTAAGCGACGACAATTAAATTCCTTACAAAAATGAGTGAGTAGTATGTACTTTAAGTTAGCGAAAAATTGTTGAAAAATGTAATGTAATATCAAGAGCACAATCGTGGTACTGAAAATAAAAGAAACTTTATTAAACGTTTTCATTTAGAGAGATTTATAAAGGAACACAGTCTTAATCAATTTAGCCTAAAATTGAATAATTAAACGAAATCTAGATTTAGCGATACGTCCAGATAATAAATTTAGTTAAATACCGTTATAAATAATTAACATAATGATAGCCTCCCGTTAATTTTAAATAATGTATAATTCTGTTTTTCGGCCGAATTTATTTTGTCAATAAATTCTTGGGTGACTAGAGTAGAAATAAAAAATCAACCGGTGCCATATGATAAAAAGTTCCCTGGCAAGCTTTGAAATTAATATTAAAAAATATGTGAAGAAAAAATGTTTCCTGCTCTGGTGCGGAATCGAACCACACATATCCCGTTTGCCGGGCAGGTGTCTTAACCACTAGGCTACAGAGCCGCTGATGTTTCCTCCGCTTACCCAGCTATTATTGTGCCGCCACAAATATTATCATGACGCGCTGGATCGCCGGGACTCAGTAGCTGGTGATAATCACTGAATTTATTCGTCATAAATATAATTAATGATCACCCTTGGTCTTCGTTAGAGGTACTAGAAATGCTCTGCGATGTATCATGGATAATGTTGAGATCCGTCTTCTTTCACATATTTACACTCCGCAAAACTCTGTTTGACCGACCATGTATTGCTAAGGTTACTCTTGACCCTTTTGAAGAAGCTGAAGTCAATGTTCTTCCTTGTCCGCGAACATTATTTATTATCCACAAAAAAATTTGTGAAGCAATCAAAAATAATTATTTCCTTTTTGATTTTTTCCTTATGAACTTTATCCTGAATTTGAAAAAAGGAAAAAATTAAGATTCCAATTTTTAAAGTTTAAAGTCAAAGTTTCAGAATTGGAAAGTCTAAATAAGTAATAGAAACTCAGCATGTTATTTCTAAGCTTTCGTAGTTACTAGTGTTATGTTTGACACTCATCCCCATTTCCACCATCAACAGTATCAAACATTTGGAAACTTGTACTACATCCTGTAATAGCGTTGTAACAGACAATACCTAACAATATCACAAAGTAACGAAACATGATAGGCAACTTGCCGTAACTGAGGGTGAACCTTTTGTTGAGTTGTGATATTCTTGCAACCCTTACTAAGCGAATATAATTCATACGTTTTGTGAAAACCACGACATGACAATCACTTGTGAACGTTTACTATCACCAATTAACACGGTTAATCAATCAAGGGGTGAGAGGGCGCGTTCTTAATCAAGTAGCCCGGACAGGAAATAGTATAACCGGAGCCCGCTGCGATCCAATTTGATCTCGTAGTGGGTCGATCTTTGCCGGTCCTCTCGTCAAACTCAATTAGGACCGGTTCCGGTCGCCGGACTCGAGGTCGCAGCCGCGGAGTAATTGCGCTCCATTAAGACGCGACAAGATTGTGTTGTTTGAGAAAACACGCCGGCAGAATGTTATTGAAAATTATTTTTACGTCTGGAATTTTGTCGTTTTACTCTTCTTTCACCATTACAAAGAAGTATTTTATTATTTAAGATGTAATTCCTATCCGCTCTCCGCTGCAGTTGACTGTTACCACAGCGCTACCTTCACTACGCAAGCTCAACCTCAAGGCGAAGACCGTCATGGCTGCTGATTGAACTTCCGCACACTAATAATTGCAGATAATATCTGGAAATTTACTTGGAAGTGTCAACATCAACCATGCTTCCATTGCTTGATGCAATGATTAGTTGGCACGCGATATGACATTTTGCTTGCATTTCAAATCACACAATTGCAATATTATACACACCTACTAGTTTTTATCTACAAAGATGTAATTAAAATTGAAATTACTCTGTGCAGTTATCGTTAGCATGAAAATATTTCACGCAATATTTTTCTTTGCCTACAGTAAATAAAATACTATTATACCTGGTAGATATAATTAAAAAAATATTACTGGCGTAAAGCTAACGATTAACAACTCTTGGCAGTGTTTATTACGAATAATTAAAAAATATTTTTTATATATTTTATAAATTTTCCGATAAAGTATATTCTCAGGAAGTGGATTCATCTCAAACAGATACAAAACTATAGGTGACATAAGTCAAAAAAAGAAAAACAAAAATCATAGAAAGATAGAAAAATTGTCAACAACGATATTAAAACAAAATCAACTTTTTTTCGTTGCGTCAAAGTTTTTCAGTTGTTTACCTAAATCATGGCGGGAGATTGTGATATTGCCGAAAATATTCAAAGGACAGTAAACAGCAATGTCCGAAATAAGCACCGGAGGTGGAGCGGTTGCTCCGGCGCCAACTCCCTCTCCGGAGAGAGGGTACTTTAAGTCGGAGAAACGAATCGAAATAATACTCCAGTTACGATTTTAAAATATTTGCTCTTTAATCCCCACCAACCTATACAGTCTAAGGTAAGAAATTATCGGATGAAACAGCTAATAGAAAAAACCGGCGTCGCTGGCAGCGGCTCCTCACTGGACAGGGCTGCCTCGGATCCTGGGGAGGCAGCGACGCTGAAACGGAGATCGGACAAGGACGGTACACCGAAAGGTGAAACGACCCCCTTTACAAGGTTCATCAAAATCATGGAGTAGAATGACAGGAGGGAGCATGCTTCATTGCACCAATGTTAAAGATTTGCCAGCAAAACAGCTCCATGGAAGAGCCATTTATGGTTCTTTCTGTCTACAGCGGGGGAGCTCGGTCTACAAAAGAGGATTAAAGCTGGTGGTGTTCGGTTTAAAATAGGTTCATGGCTAGTAAAAACGTCTTACTAAATACGATGAAAATGTCCTTCGTTTTGTTGTAATTATAAAGCCAACTTTTTTTTCAAAGATATGACACCAATAATTACACACCAACTTTAATAGAATGTGAAGGTTTTTTCGAAAACAAAAGGGTTTTCAGTTTTTTAAACTCTATAATTTTGCGAATTAATGTAACCGTTTAAATGAAGCCATGCTTCATCAGAAAATAATGGCAAATCCAGAGTCCTGTTGTTTTCGTTGTTTTGAAATCAATGACAATATGCATCGCGACGAGGATAATCAGCTGGTT